ATGAATTGACCTTTAATGTACGCCTCTTCCTGGTTACACCCCTGGAGGTGTTACCTTTTACATCAGATGTTAATGTAACCAACTTTGTTTACGCTGCATCAAGGACACATTGATAAGATTCTTTGATTTAAACCTTATGGCTGCAATGATCAGAAAGTATGAAATACAATACTAGATCTAACATTCAGTTGATTATTTGCAAAATTTCCTTCAGTACAAATATCACAATTTAAAATAATGATGTCAAACCATATCTTATGCACACAGCATGGACGCAGTGTAAATTGTTCTAATTTGGTTGAAATAGGAAGCATGTTTGCAATGCTAATGTTCCAGCAGCACTACTGTTTGGCTGATGTTTTACATGCTGCATTTGGATTTTTGTTCACATTTCTTTGTGTAAACTAAAAGAAGGTTGCTGTTTGAGCTGAGTGATTTGGATTCTTGCACTAAATTTCCTGCCGGCGTCAGTTGGAGCGCTCGGGTCATTCAGGTCACGCTTTATCTCAGATCGTATTAATGCAACTTTTTCCATCTTTGCCTTAGAAAAGCTTCAACACAAATCGACATAACAGCAGGTGTTTCAGTCATTCCTTCATTGTTTCCAAACTGATTTTAAGCTCACAATGCAGAGTCAGTATCTAAAACATCTTCTTGCAAACCTGGAAATGATCGACCAAGTGTTTCTTGACCTCTGAGTCTGAAAGGTTGAGCTCTCCTGACTCCGGACACGAGCGAAGTTGAAGTTGGAAAGCTTCAGCGGGTCTGCTCATGACTGGGCATGTGTTTCCTTGCAATTAGTCACAGAGACTTTTTTCCCCCCTTAAGAGAAGTTATTTTTAACAAGCAAGAGCTTTAACAACGAGCACAGGCAAAAGGATAACAATTGGAAGGAAGTGTTCCATGTTTATCTCATAACAGATGTAAAGGTTAATGTTTAATTGGGGGGTGGGGGGCAATCTGGGAGGAAGACCATTGGTGTCTGCAATTCTTTTTCTTTGATATGACAGGAAATGTAAAACTGAAGTGTTAAAGGAAAAGTTCAGAGCTTCTGACGTGGTTTTCTACTTGCAGGAGTTGTGACTGGCTCTCAGCTACTACCACACCAAAGTTTGGCGCAATATTCGTAGAAATCACTGAAGCTTATCTGTTTTGTGTAGGTTAATATTCATTAGTTGAGGTGGCCATCTTGATTTGGGTTTGAGTCCAAATGTTAATCAGTTTAAGATGATTAGATTCATTGTTGCTCGACTTTTCGCCTCTATGATGAAGACGTTTCTGGTGGAAGTGCTCCAGATCATAAAAGCTTCTTTGAATGTGAAAAGGGGTCTTTTTAAAGAAAAATAAGTGGATAAAATGGCCGACATAAGTTGTGACAAAAGCCTAAAGCAGAAATGAGCTCTGGTTTTGTAGGCTGAACAAAGGAATCCCTATCCCCTCGTGTCGTCTGCACGGCCCGGTCAGGAAAAGAATCCAGAAAGGTCTGCAAAGTCCCACTCTCATTGTTAAATTAGTGCCCCTCCGCACCCCCACCTCCTCCTCCACCCAGGAGCCATAAAAGGAAGTGTCTCTTTGTGTGAGAGGAGTAGAGCAGATTTACTGCGGATGATCTCCTTACAAAGGGTCGCTGCACTGTCACAACAGAGCCAGGATCGGCTGCTCCAACTTTCACACAGTGAGCTTGTTATACGCAGCCGCTGATGCAGACACAACCTCTGTTATCACATCCAGACCCCTCCGCAGAAAACARAGAGGGAACGTTCCTCCCCTATCAGTGGAGGGAGTCTTTCTGCTGAATTTTATTTACTTTCTGGTTGCTGATTCATTCAAGTCTGAACACATGTCTCAAGGGCAGACGTGTCTGGGTTTCAACAACAAAAAGTCAAGGGTGGCTCCATAATATTCCACAAGATGTTTTTACTCATTTAATTCACTTTAAAATTTGAAGTCTTTAGCAATTATTCACACTGCAAGTGCAATTATTTCATTTGTACTTTTTATTCTATTCACATCTTGTCTTTTTCTCGTTTCTTGACATTTTGATACAGTTTAAACTGGATTGCTTGCTGCTAATTTCAATTACCTTTTGTTTATATTAAAAACACCTTTACTCTCATTTTCTGCTTTAAGGAAATTATAGCTGTAGTTGCTATAGTTGGTTATATTTTTTGTATTTCCTCAAGGACGTTAGATCAAATGTTAACTTCACTAAAGTAAAAGAAGACAACTTTACATGATCTGCCGCAGGTATTTTATCCTTAGAGGACCATCTATTGACATCAAACTAGAAGAAACTCTTTGTCCTGTTAAAATTAGGAACCAGGTCTAACCAAAATACTGTATTAAGTAGTAAAGGTTATGAAATTATACCAACTTATTGGAGTTTTTATTTGGTTAAATGTTGTGTTTTGTTACTTATGTGACAGGCAAGCCAAAAAAAATTATATCTAGATTATATTTGAAAGGATGATTGCTAAACTTGAAGGCATATTACCTAACATGTTAAAGTGTTAAACAGTTGTTGCAGACATCTTGTATAGGTTTGACCCCAAACATTATTCAGCTGTATATATATCATATATATATATTATTTTTTWAAAGTTTCATTAAAACATGGTTCACAAGATTTTGCTAACACATGCATTTGCAGTATTAGATGCAGATAAATGTGTTGTTACTCTAACAATCAATGATGTGAGTAGCCAAAAAAACTGTAGTCTTAGATATTCTGGAAACTTTGGGGGCTTTTATTCACTTTATCACGTATTTTAAGGCTGTTAGCTAATATTAAACATCTYTCTGCTTGTAGTTGATAGCTTTACAAGAGGGAGTGCTGCGGGAAAAACTGGGTGACATCAGTGAAAAGGCCTCTGATATGTTCATATCTGATGCATCTGTCAGAAAACCCGCAGCAACAGAGATGCCTTTCACATATTTTAGACCAGAACCAACCCCGGCCTTTTGCTGCAATTAGGAATGTGACAAAGACCCTGCTGCACCCCTCTACTCACACACTCACACACACACGCACACACACACACAGACCGGTCTTCTAACTCCAACAATGCCCACATTGTGTCGTGTTCTGCTGTGTGATTGTGGCCCAGTTTGGTTCTAACTTCACCCCACCGTTCAACACCAGCACTGAGACAACTGGGAATGAAATATGAAGGATTCCTTTCAGGTTCTGGAGGAGGACACATAAAGACCCATCTCTCCACAGATTAGGAGTGGGAACTTGTGTCACATTCAAATCTAGCTCTTTGTGACTTGAACTTTTGGGATTTAAATCAGAGCCTTTCAGGAAACCAGATTTTTGACATCAAGAGTTAACTGGAGTGTTAACAACAGCAGAGCCACAGGATCTCAGACAGGAATTATTTATTTATGAGCATCAGCAGGTGTTCATAATTAAGGCTTACATAAATATTGTATTCTTTTCCTCAGAGCCATAAACCACTTATTAATGAAAAACAATGTCTTTGATCAAAATTGCTCAGTTGTTTTTATTTACTTATAACAGTTTTTTATGGTACAGTTTTACGCCTGCCATTCTGAGGGTGTTAAAGTTAGTTAGCCCCTCATCGGTCAGGTCTGTTTGCCCAGCTGATGTAAACACAAGCAGTTTATGAGAATCCACCCAACTAACAGAGCCTTCTGAGTTTATTGTCTAATTTTTGGTAAAACTTATGAACAGGAGCTGTTGCAAAACAAATGATAACTTATTATTATTCAAAAAACATGCATGTGACACAAAGTTTATGCTTACACAGTCTAAGATAATGCTTATTATTTTTACACACATATAAAGAATAAAGGCTTTGAAACGCAGCAGCTGTTTTTGCAATACTTTTAAAGCAACAGCTAGTTAACTGTTAGTAAATGAGTAACTTCTAATCCTGTTTAACTCAGAAATTGTTAGTTAATTAATGATTTATTAGAAACAGATCAATCATTTATTAATAATTCAAGCGAAACACAGACCATTGGACAGCTGGTGCTGAAAACATGATTTGCCTTTCTTCTGCCTATCAACAAACAGGTGAAAATACAACAAATATCTAGCAACATACCGTATATAAAATACATTAGCTTGACAAGAAATAGGGCATTTTTGTTCCAAATGTTCAGCAATAAGATTAATTAACTGATATTTTGAACCTTTTTAAGAATGACATATTAATGCGACCACAGTTAGTAGCTGTTAGCATTTAAAATACTGAATGTTGATTTATGACTAATGACGGAGATTAACATGACAACAATTAAAACTTTCAGCAACAAGTTATAAAATGTGTCAAGTTTTAGATTTCAAATTAAAAGTCCTCATTGCAACACATTAAAATCAAATGAAACATAACGGTTATTTTCACTACCAGATGTTTGAGAGAGTTTATTCAAGTAGTTTATCAAATAAACTGGTACAAAGGCAGGTACCTACTCAATGTAAACAAAACTCTTMGTTGACTTGACCAAAAAACACACGACTGACTTACAGCACATTAGGATGGCCATAAGGGTAAACAAATATGGTGGACTCAGACAAGTTGTTGGGAAAGTGAAGGATGTTTAGATAAAAATAAAAATGTGAATTTACATAACTGTCAGATGTTTTGATCTCTATGACTGTTCAATGTACGTCGCCACTGTTGACCTATTTTGAATATTTTTTTGCTGTGTTTGCAGGGAAACAAACACACTTGGCTGCTGGCCACAAATATTTCTTACAATTTTTTAATTTAGAGACACGTTAATCATTGATATGGGAAGTAAATGTGCAGATTCTGATATCCTTCTTTATGATTTGTTCATGGTATTTACAATATATCTGATCTAAAAATCACATCATAGTATTTATTTATTTATTTATTTATTTATTTATTTAAATAGATTCTGTTCACTGGGAACTAGTAATGCATAAATATCATCTAGTTTATTCAAAACTGCAAGTTTAAAGCTATTTTTGAAACTGTTGTGTGATTCCTGTCTCACCTGTGTGCTGGTAGCTCCTCCTGTTGGCCACAGGTGTCGCTGTGGAGCAGCTGCAGAGACCTTCAAGCAGCGGCTGCAGCGCTCACTCTCATTTCACTCACTGAGGACCTGCAGGACCTGTCGCACCTGGGACTCTTGTGGACTCGCTGCGATGCTGCTGCAGGGAGGATCTTCTGCTGTTCTGTTCCTTTTTGTTCATCTCGAGGTGTTGGGGTTCAACCTGGACACCAAACATGTCCTCAGGAAAGACGGGGAGCCGGACTCTCTGTTCGGCTTCTCTCTTGCTCTGCACCGACAAATCAACCCGGATAAAGTCATGTAAGTCCTCAAACATCTTTAGCTTACTGATTTAAAGGCGCACTTCTCTTTTTTGTGGTCTACTCAGTTTCAAGTCAATAAATATAGCTTACTGACTCCTTCCTTCCTCTGCAGGACCTAACTAATCTAACTTCCTAGTTGAGCTCAACTACAAGTTTATTTTATTTTAATTAAAGTTACTGTTATTTTAACTTTACTGTCCCAGAGCTCAAAGTGTTTTTAGACTGATTTTGTTGTTGTAATTTAGGGTCTTCCTCGGAGATGAATGGGGGATGTTTAAAGAAAAAGAACAGGACAAGTGYAGAAACAATGGTTTTAATTGTAATGCAAATGAGGCTGCATGAGGAGAAAATCCTTCCCATAGTTCCTACAAATGACAGATGATTCAGTGGTTTTATTATTTGTGTGCACAATGGACTGCTGATAAGACAAAAACAGGAAATTGTATTGACTGGATGTTAGAAAAACATTCAAGTTCTATGAATCTTTGAGCTTGTGCTGCTTAAAGACAGGGGTGCCACCAAGGGGGGTCCAGAGGAGGTAATGACCTTACCTCACTCACACCGAGACAGTAATGTCATATTTTTTTTCAGGAAAACTGAAAAGAAAAAAAAAAAAAAGAACAAGCTTTACTGAAATGACTGTTATAATAACAATAAAATAAAAACTAATGTTGGTCCATATAGAAGCTCAATCCCAAACTCCCATCCTGCAGCATTTTTTAAAAAATCTGTAAATGTCAACTGGTCCAGTATGAGATTTTGACAGTTTAATAACTCTGAGCAAAAATACGTTAATTTCTTAGTATTACCTTAAGTTGCAGATGCTTTAAATCAGTGGTTCCCAAACTTTTTATCTTCTGACCCACAAAATATCCATGGCAAAAACTTGTGACCCCAAATATTACTGGTCTGAGTACACAAACAATAAACAATAAGCAATAACCCTAAAAACACAGGCTTTTGACAATCTAAACAGCTTGTACACAAATATAAATACTTATTTATAC